TGAATCAGTCTGTGAACCAGTTTACAGCTATTGAGCTTTGAACAGTAAATCCTAAGTTTTGGAGAGAGCTGTCATATAATTTAGTAGGAATGCTGATCCACTGTTATCAAGGTCAAAAACAAGCACTTTGTAAATTGGTTTATTGTCTATCACTGCAGGATCACCAAATTCAATTGTAGAAATGGTAACTTTGAGTAAGCAAAGATGAGAGAAGGATTACAGAAGCAATAAACTGGAAATTGATCATCATCCGCAGTGAATTTTAGGAAGCAGTTGGTTTGATGGATGCAATATGGGTCACAGAAAGCAAAGGAAATAAGTCAGCAACTTGGTCCATGGAGCCATAGAGGGCTAGGGGAACTGGTGAATTATTGCTTGCCTGTGTTTGGCAAGCAGGTTTGGTGAAGTTTAACTGCAGGATGAATGGCATCTTTAAACATCTGAATGTGAAGATTTTGGCAGTCCCTAACGTAAGGGTGCCAGGTGTTTGAGGAGCTCTGAAATTTGCAGCATTCTAATGAATGCTACTTAAAATTCCTGTCAGGGTCTAGTGACCAGCCTGTCTTCAGAACACTGAGAGTATTTGCTTTTGAAATACATGTGGAAACTTAAACTATATAAATGCATTTTGGAAAGCAAGGAAAGGCTTTAGCATAACTCCATAGATTTCTTTATATAGATGAAGGAGACATACATGAAGTCTTTCAAACCCATCTGAGTGAGCATTGGTTACATCTGGTATGTGAACCTGCATAGGTCAGTTTACTCCTTACTCTTTTCCTTTTCTGTCTCTGTAGTTTCTGCTGAGGTTCCTAACGCTCCTGTTATAGACCCTCTGTGTGTATGAGAGCTATTCAGAAAATCAGATTCAATAGTACCTAACACTACACATCTGTGTGTACATATATGTAAATGCCTGTGCATAGTATAACTTGGGGTTACTTTGAGGGATTGTCTTGTGGGAATCCCAGGTTAGCAAGCTCACAGTCTTCAGGACATCATGACAATCTAAAGGCTGAGGTAAGAGCTGAGGCTGTAAGCTTGAGGGAGAAAAAATCTCAATGACACCTCATCTCACTCTGATGGCCTTTCTAAGGATAGCTTAAGATGCTTACATCATTGATCATAATGTCCTTCCTAAGACCAGCTGGTTAGAGATGTTAATTGCACCCTCAAAATGCCTGTCATCAGGGCCTAGTTTGAATTCCCAAGTGCTGCAGTCTAGCCACACCGACATAACTATTCCAGTATCCCCAGAATCTGTCTATCACATCCTAGGTACCTGAACACAAGATACACCAAACTTTGTACAGACAGCTATCATGAAACACTCATATACAAAGACCTCCTCTAGTAGGTCTCAGAATCATTTTTAAAAATTATGATAAGTGAACACAGAATTAGCATTTAGAACCCTTACCAGGGATCTGACATTAAAAGAGGTGATTTGAATGAGATCCTCTGAAGCAGAATATGAATTTAGTTTTCTCAATATTGTTGGAACATTTTTATTATATTGATCAATGTCCCTAAACAATTGCTGCCTTTAAAGATATGAAAGCATCATTTATAATAAATCTTCATAGTGAAAATTTTTTTAAAGTAACCATTTGGATGTTTGATAAATTGAAAGTTATGAAAGTAAATCGGAAACAATGTTTTTTAAAAGTGTTGATTTCTTTTGCTTGGGTGTCATATACTGGGATTTTGGAAGACTAATATTTCCCTTTGAGAAACTCTAGCTAAGCCCTAACTCCCTTTAGAATATTTTGTATCCCTTTATCTGTTTCCTTAGATGATTTTCCCTGGTAGTCAAAGTGCTAGCTATATGTGGAGATAACACTAAGCAATAAACGCTCATGCCTTTTAAATCAATTTAAATTCATTGGATTTCAAGAGGTGGACAGTGAGAAAACTCAGAGTCTAAAGATGACCAAACCCGAAGTAAGTGCTACCCTTCCATCAGATAGCACTTGGGGATTTAGGAATCCAAGCACTTTGTAACAACTTGCACGTTTTAGCTTCTAATATCCTGCCACCTAGAAAGTGTCTGGATAGTAATCTTTCTTAGAGTTCCCAATTTCCAGAAAATCCCCCAAAATGGGGTGGACCGGAGTCTGTGCTGCTGCTCTTTCCAGGCAGGTCATTTCTGTTGCTTTTTTGGGATTTACACTCCGAGGTCCCCAGGTTGTCCCCTGTGAGGTCAGTGAGTTTATGGTGGCAGAGCTGCAGAGGCTGCCTCACATGGCTAATGAGGCCCTGCTGTCTGCTGCCCTCAACCACTGTGCCACTCACCAAGTCTAATTTTGGCAGTTTTCACACCCAGGGCCATGTTTGGAGGGACTGGGATTTGGCAGAATTAAATTTCTGCTGTCACCACAGCATCTTGGTGTAGAAATTAACATCTGTGCAGGCTTTGGGGAAAGGATATTGAAAGCTTGACATAATTGAAGGGGACACATAGGAGGAGGACAGCCTTGTGTTTTATCTCTTGAAATACAGGGCAATACTTACGGTCTCAGTTTATGGCCTTGACTGCATTTTGCAGCTTCTTGTTGGAGAGATCCCTTCTTCCACATCTAAATATTAGCTTATTTACTTAAAAAAATTCAAGGACCAAAAAATGTGAAGAATTCACTGGTATTATCTCAACTATCCACAAACGTATCAAGTTGTATCATCCCTCTTGTCTGTGCTTGTTTTAGGTCTCGAGGACATGAACCTATCATAGTCATTTTCACACACAATCTCTCAATCAGAGATTGATGAGTCTGTGTTCACCTGAAGTTTTAGCTGTGTGTTTTCTTTATGGGTGACCACTTAGGCTGATTTCCTTTATCCACACTCTGTCCTGGTGGTGCATCTAATTATGTATCACATATGTAATAGAGAATCTAAGGCCACTTGATAAAGGAATGTGACTGGGAAATCCATAAAGACCACTTTTTCTCTCCTTATAACCTGTAACTCTGAAATTACCACTATTATATGAAACTCCCCTCCACACTCAAATTACTCAAGCTGAAAAGAGTTTCCATAGTCTGGGTTAGATCTGCTTTCTTCAAATGGAGAAATAGTTTTGAACATGGTTACAGGAAGTTAAATAAGTTTGTTATTGTGGGTTGTGAGGTATCTATCATAACTACATTGTTTGCTTCTGTGTGTGTGTGTGTGTGTGTGTGTGTGTGTGTGTGTGTGTGTGTGTGTGTGCGCGCGCGCGCGCGGGCGCGCGTGTGTGTGTGTGTGTGTGTGTGTGTGTGTTTGTGTATTTGTGCCTTTGCATTTTTATACACATGTGTGCTTAGATCTGTAGTTTCCTGTATGTATGTTCGCCCCCTACTTCCTCATTGCGGTATTAGATTGTTCCTGGAGACAGAAGTATACCTAAAAGGTCAGCTCATTTCTTCAACTTGTTTTCTTGCCAGGACAACCGTAGAAACCATGATTGACAAACATGCAGAGAGAAGGTAGAACTATAGAAGAAGAGAGGAGTGTTGGGTCCTTTCCTGATGGCATACTGACGTTGTTTCCCATTCTTAGATAAGATAAATGGAGTGCCCTTACCTGGTCTAATTTGTTATGGCCTTGGAGTCATCTTGTCTGGGGTCAGAGTTCTGTGAGGTGACTTGGGGGCAGTAGCAGAAAGTAAACACCACACTGGCTTTTGAAGATCACGGGAAACTTGTTTTTCTTTCTTCTAATCTAACCTCACTCTTGCCCCAGCAAATCCCCAGAACTGATGCTCTTTGAGGACCAACTTGGAAAGTGTATTACTAAAGTAATTAAGGCATATAGCAAATGTCAAAGTGATGTGACACATGTTTGTCTTTCTATCAATTTCTCGTCCCTGCTAGAGGAACTGTGGACCTGAATTGGATGTTTCTTACTCTCAGGGATAATGGGTTTCCATTTTTATTATGAAATTATCTGTGACTTAAATAGTCTTAAACCATCTTAGAAGTCACACAAATTGTCCCTTTAACATATAAAATTGGGAATTCTGATCTTGTTTTCATAGGGAGCTTAAGTCTCAAACTGCTTGTAGGTATGTGAGACACCCTACACTTCACCCTGGGCTCCAAAAAAAGAAAAATATTTATCCTGTCAAACATTTCATGTGAATTTAATAGTCATACATTAAACACTCTCTCCTTTGGTTTCAATGCCGTAGAGTGATTGTCAGAGAGTGAATTTTGGTTTTATATAGCAGGATGTTCAGTTGATTTTTCTTCTTCCTTCCAGACATTCTGATAAATACCTTTGACACAACATGAGCCAACTACATTGGAAATTCACATTTTGTACAGTAAAATTCAATCTTGATTTCACATTGCAAAAGACAGGCTCCTCCCTGCCCTGGCACTAAAGAAAGTAATGTTGCCAAAGGAAGTGGCCCCAAATCAAACAAAAGGCTTCCTCCCTTTAGTCTACATTTCTGTGTGATACCAGCATTACTTCTACCTATCAGTGGCTTCCCCCTTCCAGAACAGTTTCTATATGACAAGAAATGTCAGCTGAAGATTGTGTGACAGAGGAGATCACATTAAAAACACTGTCCCTTTCACCTCTGAATTCCCACAGAGAGCATGGCACACAGCATCTCTTGTCCCTGTTGCCTAACAGGCTTTGGTGATGTGGCCCAGGCATACATCTGACATTTCCTAAGACAAGCACACCTAAGACTTTCTGATACCTCTTGTCACCTGGTGTTATTTGGTACATTTCAAATAAAAACAGAAAGGGGGGAAAGCAGGTGTTTTGAGAGCTTTTACACGCCTGCACTTAGTTATGTGATGGGGACAGAGATCAAATATGAGGTTTAACTCAATTCTCACAGGCCTTGGGAGTGGTAAGTGCACGGATGCTGAGGTCCAGACTAGGTACCGGTGGATGGCTTGGGAGGAGAGGGGAAAGGTGTTCCCAGAGTTTGAATAAAATGTCCTTCATCTCCTCAGAGTTCTTGACATTTCACACTGATGTTTCCTTTCTTCTCCTTGCAGGGGAGCACTTACGCATCTGTCCTCAGGAGTATACGTGCTGTACCACAGAAATGGAAGACAAGCTGAGCCAACAGAGCAAGCTCGAGTTTGAAAACCTCGTAGAAGAGACAAGCCATTTCGTGCGTACCACGTTTGTGTCAAGGCATAAGAAATTTGACGGTAGGTGTAGCTGGATGCCCTTTCCTGTGTTTCTACTGCATTTTTATACAAGGCTTTTGCTCTCCCAGGAAAAGCATCTTTGAGAGAGATGGTTCTGTTCCCACTCAAACTTGTATATTGTCTGTGTTCAGCAACGACATAGGGATTCCTGAAAGTGTAGTGTTTTATGGGAATGCCATAGGAAAGGACAACTGGACTGACCAAGTTGGTTTGTGTTTTGTGTTTTGTTCTGCCTATGCGGATGCTTGGCACAGTGATGCTACCCATCTCATTTTTGACTAGTCCTAATTAAGGTTTTCTGACACTGTAACTTGTCTTCAGGTACTCAGGGGGCATTTCATTCAGAAAGTCTGGTTACTTACATTTATTTGCACCTACCACATCATTTTTAAGAAGATAAACTTGTCTCAGTGACGGGGCCATGGACTGCTTTATTTTAGCCCTCTCCATGCATTAATGTGATAGATATACTGTGTACAGTAGGTGCGATGCTTTTTTCAAAGGTCATCAACCCTCCTTCCATTTCCAGATCATAAGAAAGTAACATCATTTCTACATTTTATTAAATATTTTATGTTAAAAAGCACAAAGAGTGAGGACCGTTATCTGTAACATTTCAGCTTGAATTTTCTAATCAAGTCCTCAAAAAACATTCTGCACTATAACAGCAGTTTCAATTAGGATAGCAGTAAAGGGTATTTTTGGATGATGTATAGTTCTTACTGGTCTAAGAAATGCACGAACTGTGCTATGATTCATTATGAACCAGACTTGCAAGTTATGCAAGACCTCCTTATTCCCCAGTGGACATGTTCCCCTGCCCGAGGCCAAGAAGGACCTATTCATTTTCTCACCCTCTTCAGGCAGAACACCACATATCCAGTTAGAAAAGACTTGCCAATGTTTTTATTTCTGTTTTCTCTGGAGTAAGTAAAATAGGCTACTTCATGGTTGCTTGAAACTATTATTGTAACAACTGTTGCCTGGCAAATTTCTTCTCCCAGTTATAAAAGGGTGGGTGCATGGATATATTCAGGATGTTGTTACATTTTCCATTCTGTTGTTGCTCCATCTTTTCTGCAAGGCTGTTCCAGTGCCTTCTCAGTCTTCTCTTTTGCTTTGTGTATAATGTTATCTGTGGATACCGGTGAAAGCAACTCCTTATTTAACTGTGATGCTGTGAATGCCTTTCTCTAGAATCTAATGAGGGAGTACTTGGAGGTCGTCCTTGATTGACAGATTACAAGTCCATCGGCATTCAGGAGGCTCCGGGTTTAGGTGTCCACAATCTATCATTAAATGTTGAGACACCTTGTCCTTGATTGCAAAGAGCAGCTGAGTGTGATCTGCTGCTGCTGCTGCTGCTGCTGCTGCTGCTGCTGCTGCTGCTGCTGCTGCTGCTGCTGCTGCTGCTGCTGCTGCTGCTGCTGCTGCTGCTGCTGCTGCTGCTGCTGCTGCTGCTGCTGCTGCTGCTGCTGCTGCTGCTGCTGCTGCTGCTGCTGCTGCTGCTGCTGCTGCTGCTGCTGCTGTTCATCCTATGTTTGGAAACTAATTCTAATGCATTTACAAAGCTGCCCTCCAAAATGATGCTAGTAACTCTGGGACAGAATTCTGACACCTAATTGTATATATCTCATATGAATATATTAGATGGCAACTAGAATCATGAAAGGTTTGATATTTCCTTTTATAGAGAAGGAAAGCTATTCAACTAGACCAAGCCAGATACTTCTGGCATTATATCAATTAATCTCATATCTAACTTGTCTTAATTAAGAAGCCCCACTTTTAAGACAGGTGAGTTCTAAATTACGTTAATGCACTTTGGGATCTGTTGTCAATCAGTGTGACAAGGACATTCATTTTGCCAAGATTGTATCTGACATAGTGTGTTATTAACTCTTTAGCTATGCTGTCTTTTGTTGCAGGTATATTAGATTGTCATACGAGAGAAGTTAAGATATATTTATAACAATTTCACCAAACCTATGAACACAACGTGAATGTGGTCTGGATGAGTAGGATTTGGAAAGCTATTCTTGCAAATAAAAGTATATGTGCTGGATGGTTTCAGTGATGACTTCTATCTTTCCTTCCATCCATCCTGTCATATGGTTGTATGATCTATCTTATTAAACCATAATGGAAGCCTTGCTAGTAGACCTTTGCAAAAGGTGGGTCCTTCAGTGAAAGTCTGGCCATAGTGCATCCTAGACAAGTACCTGCCCCTCTCAGCTATAATTCAGGCCTTTACCCCTTTCTGCCCCCTACATCTCCCTCTCTTCCTCTCTCTTTTTTAAAGAAAAGTCAGTCTCCTAAGGCTTTCCCGGTACTCTAAGTGGTTGTGACCACAGAAGAACTGTCTAGCTAGCATAGCTGTGGAATGTTACCTCCTGGGCTTTATTTTCTTCCACAAAAATCAACATTGGTGTGAACATGTTACAGCTTAATTTTAGAGACATTTAATTTGGTGAGTCCTGCTGCACTATTATTGAATACCAAACATCCCACTGAAGATTCTGCCCATGGTCTACTCCCTAAGAAGTCTAACCTTCATGTTTAGAGTATACTTGTCCTTGTTAGCCAGACTCTTTGATAAGAAAGAAACTACCATTTGATTTATACCTGAGGACATAGATTCCTATGTTCATTAAGGATTGTAGCAAGGTCAACTGCACGTGGTATATGTGATCTAATCCTTAGTACACATAGAAGTTGCCATTGACCACAGTGCAGGTTGGTCTCACTGTGGCCTCCATGTTATATTAGAAATGTCTTCTTCCCATTTGGGCCTTTCCCACCACCACCCAATAATGCTGATTCTGTAGAAATTTGAAACTTACCTTAACAGTATGTACTAGTATGGCTCTATGTTTTTCTCAGTTGTTAATTTATATTCTGTGTAATACTTAGAAGAAACTAATGTGTGTAATTATAAATAGTTTTTAAGTGATAGGAAAATAGCCATAAATATATTTTAATTCTTCCATAGCTTTCCAAACTGTCAAGTTTTTCTTGAAGTTCCATTAACCTAATATTTGAAAGACAAGTAATATACGTTGTCATGTGTAGAAATTGTATTGACAGATAATTATCTGGGTAGACATTTTTCTTTAGGGATAAAAAGTACAAGTAAACTGGGATCTAGTCATTTCAAAGCTCAGCAGAGCTGCTCTCAACATGCTTTGTCAGTAAGTCTATGCTTCTGTTCCTCTCCATGTGTTTAAACTGTACATAGGAACCACCCAAAGGCACTTAGCTATATTCACAACTTTATTTTTTTTACTTCTGCCCTTTGTCTGCCACACACCTCAGAAGTTCAAAAACAAGCAACAGGATTATGTAAAGATGTCAACAAGGAGAGAGCCAACCCTGTGTACTCACTCATGTAGGTAGACATCTGTGTTCAGTGGCCATTGGGTCTGTCCAATTTACATTTGATTCTAAGTCATCACTGCTTTTATGTTTCCATGTGACTTGTTTGTTAGGGTCCCCTTACGAGGCCTTCTGAGAGTAGTAATAATCACCAGAAGCAACACAAGGCCTCATTCTTCACAATGTGAAATGCTTGCCCCAATCATCAGAGGTAAGCCGAAATGCAAAGACACACACCTATCAAGTGGCAGAATCAGAATTCTGTCCTGAGCTCATCATTCCTTCTTCTTTACTGTCTTCTGCTATCTTTACCCCATAATCTATTCTCATATGTGCTGACATTTCATGGTCAACCAGCTAGCTATGCATCTCTCAACCCTGCCTTTTCTGCCCAGATTATGGTTTTGAGAAAGTAGAAATAATATTTAGGAAAAAAGAAAAGTGGTTAGAGATATTTTTATTCCCCCCGCTGTCACCCCCCAAAAAAAAAGAAGGAAAGAAAGAAAATTACTCACCTAAATATAGTTCAACTCTCCAAGGAGCTGGGAGCCTCCAGAGTGGAGGTTCCTTGCCAAGTTTCCATCAAGGAGGAGGAAACCAAGATTGCAACCTGATACCTATATCAGTCTTATAAATAGCAGTACTGTAGGGAATCAATAGTTTGTTTGGTAAACCTTTACTGATGTTTTCTTAACAAAACAATTACAATAGTTGTGCATTTAGAATCTAGTCACATTTTTGGAAAAGGTAGAAACAGCATTCAGTTGACCAGAGTTGTTGCAAAGTGTAAAAGATAAAAAACAAAACAAAACGACTGAAGGGTTTACAGTTACAGGCTGAAGGGAGACCTCTTTGTATTTTAGCTTATATAACAGACGATTCTATCATGGGGTAGGTAGTTGAACCCTTTTCCCAGAAGGCCTGTGGAGCACAGATTATTCAGAAACAATATTTTCCTTTAATCAATGCATTTTTCCTTTATATTATTTAACCTGAAACTTACTTACAATTTGGACTTTCTATGAAATTTTTTTGTTTGTTTGTTGTTGTTTAATATTTTCTTCTTGATTTTATTATTGAACCTTTCTTCATGATTCTTATTTATGGACTTTAATGATATACATTAGTTCAGATTTTTGGCATCATGAACATATTTTAAAAACAAACAAAAGAATATAGATTTTCATTTTTATACAGAACTGCAGAACGTATTCTATAGTAACACCCTCAGAATACCCATTGCAATGAAAGCAGAAATTATTTATGCACTGGGGTGTAGCATTTTCATGGTGTAAGTCTACTCATGCCTTCTTTTAAAATAATATTTCTCATCTATATACTATAGAGATGACAATAATGTAATGACTTCTTTAAAATATAGTCTAATTTCCTCAGAGAATGCACTTACATGGAATATTAAAAAAAAAAGGAGTTTTCCATATGGTGATAGACTCGTCCATATTTTTTGTCACGTGTTTCCTATTGTATGTGTGTGAGAGCATGTGTATAATTTCAATTTGAAACCTTCTATACAGATAGGTAACTATCAGGTAAGTGTGAAGTGTTTGGAAAGGTGGCGAACAATGACTAAAGTGTCTTCATTGTTTGCAGTAGGCCATCTTCTG